TTGGCATCTGTCCATAGGAGAAAGTCTCAAATCCCCGGCCGAAGGCCGGCTACCCACAAACACTATTCTAATTAAAAGGAGATTCTGTCGCGTAGCTGGTTTTGCCATCTGTCCATAGGACCTATATCTCAGGCAGTATGGACTTATTTGATATGAATATTATATTTTTGTAATCAGGGCTTCAAATGTTTTAAAATGATACCCATATTGCCTTAGTGAATTTTAAAAAATGAAAAAAATACAAGGTTCCCAACGGAACTTTGGAGGCCTATATCTCCGGAAATACCGATTTCCGCAAGAAAAAAAGTATACTGCTGTAATCAGGGCCCCAAGGACTACATGTGGTAAAAATTTCAAAACGATCCGGGAGGGGGCCCTAAACTAGACTTGTTCCCTTCTATATATGGGGTAATAAATTAGACCAACATTAACCACATCGCCACATAGTTTGGTACAACAATTGTAATAGAAAAAACAATAAAAAAAATTCTTAAAAAAATTCAATTTATTTGCCAAGGCTAATGCTGTGCCAAACGTGCTGTTCCTTTCAAGATGGTGATTATTCTGAGACAAATTCCCTTCAGGCCGATTGTTTATTATACCTTTTTTTCGACGGCGGGCATGATTTCCGAGTTCATCGCAAATACACTGGTGGCCAAAACTAAAGCAACTAAAATTGCAAGGTTAATAAATGCCGCATAACTTTTTCAAAAACACAGATATCTTGTTGGGTTTATATACCCTTTACCACACTGTGTTACAGGGTATTATGTCTTTGTGCATATGTTTGTAACCGGGAAAAGGAATCGAGATAGACTTATGAGAGAATATGAATAGAATCATTTTCTGAGTCGATTTATGAATGTCCGTTCGTCTGTCTGTCCGTCAGTTGATGTTAAATTGCAAACAAAGTACAGGTCGCATTTATAATCAGATTTGGATGAAATTTGGCATAGCTTAATAAATTTTATTTGGCCTAAGGACGAACCCTATTGAAATTGGTGAATATCGGTTCAGATTTAGATACAGCTCCCATATATATTTTCGTCCGATTTAATGTAAAAAAATCCCTATATATCTTCCCTATATCTTTCGATTTGCACGAAATTTGGTATAGCCTACTGAATTAAGTCTAGAATGATGTGTGCTAAGTTTCGTGAAAATCGGATCAGATTTAGATATAGTTTCCATATATAGTTTTGCCCGAGTTTACGTAAATTGTGCACCAAAGTCCCTGAAAATCATTCGATTTGCACCAATTTTGGCATAGCGTACTAAATTAGGTCTAGAATAATGTGTGTAAAGTTTCGTGGAAATCGGTTCAGATTTAGATATAGCTCCCATATATATTTTCGTCCAATTTAAGGTAATTAATTTACTAAAGTCTCTATATATATTTCGATTTGCACGAATTTTGTTATTTTGGAAATCGGTTCAGATATGGATATGTCATAGCTTCTATATATAATTTCGACCTATTTATGTTAATTGTACACCAAGTAATCAATGGATGTCTGATTGAGATTAAATTTTAAACTTTGCAGCATACCAAATAGCGTGGGTCAAGTTTACTTTAAATCGATTTACAAAATTTAGTATAGGTTGCAGAATGACATGTGTAGGGATTGATGTTAGTCGGTTTAGAAATAGATAAAGATCACATACTTGAGTTCGTTCAATTTCATGTTAATGTTCCTTAAAAAGGCGAAGTCTGTTAGGATGCATCTGTTTAATATATCCATAGTGGTGAAGGGTATCATATTGTCGGCCCTGTCCGACTTCACTATTTTACCAGTGATTGTGAATATAATTTATCACAGAAAATAATTTCGGAAAAATATTCCATGAATAAATCAGTGATTTCTCAAATTATAAGTTGATTTTATGCAACTATATCAGTACGGACAGTTTAGCACGGAGGAAAGCTGATAAACAAATTGTCATAGCAGCAAAAAAAAACATTTAGAGTTCAACAGAGAGTTTATGAGAAGGTTATCGTTGGATATAACCTCATGAACAGAGCGTATACGAGCTATGGTATCAGGCCTACATGCCTGGAATCGTTCTGAAAAGAATAGGAAAGTCAGATTGGCTTTCGCAAAAACTCATATCAATTGGAATCTGACTCAGTGGAGAAATATTATGTTGTCGGATGAATTAAAGTTAAACATTGAACATTGAAATGAAAGACTCATCCCACAGTATTGCAGGGTACTGGGAAGAATGGAGGAGGGTCAATAATGGTATAGGGCTGTTCATTTTTGGAGTTTGATATACTTACGTAATTTATAAAGTAATGGATCTGTTTGTTTTTAAAAATTTGGTGAAAAACTCAAGCTGAAGAAAATATACAGATTGTTTGTTTTTTTTATCTTGACAATAACTCCCAAACATACACCAAAAAGTGTCAAACATTGGTTGGACCAAAACAATCATCATATAGAAAAATCTTTGGAGTATCATAGATAGCAAAATCAAAAGAGTTTCACAAAACAAACAGACATAACCTCTTCCCAAAGGTTCAGGGTGCAAGGAATAGTATACCCAAGGAACAAATTGAACGTTTTATTGATTCCAGGCCTCGTAGGCGTGCAGCCGTAATGAAAATTAATGGTTATGCTGTCGATTACTAGCAAAATTTGATTATTTATAAGAAAAAATCAAAAAGTTGCTTTAGTTTTGACCAAGCAAAAATTGAGTCAATTTAGATTTCCATAGAATATTTTCTATTTCTAAATAAATTTGCATTTATACAAACTTTCACTGTAACTTTATTTAAAAAAAATACAGGTCATTTATGCAGTTTGCAATTTCAGTTGCTTTAGTTTTGGCCACCACTGTATATCCCGTAGTATATCAAGAAGTATAGATATGTAAGGTGAATATACGTCCCCTTTTTTAGAGGACAATTATCTATTTTAACTACCTGTCATCTATAAAATTTATGTTCTCTATCTGTCATTTATTTCTATAATCGGTCATCTTTGTCACCTATATTTGTAAAACTTTGAAGAATATTTATTTTTGTAGATGAAAACAAATTAATAATATTAAGAAAAGGTATTTTCGGTATTTTTAGACGCATTTTTCGACCGAATTATCTGTTATTTTATATTTTGTGTTCTAATTGAGTAACCAATTTCCATAAAAAATATTAATTATTAAATGTTGGTATTTTTAGGGTTCCTGGACACGTGGGTTCTATGTTTCCAGGTGTTCCGAATATAAACCTACATTTTAATTTTTTTTTAATTTATTAAAAATTTACCTTCAATAGTAAATGTAATTTACTATTCCTCGTGGCTTATGGGTTGCAAAATATCCTGGAAAAATATAGTCTACGATATCCTTATGTAAATGATATCGAGATTATTCGCTTAAAACTTTTAAGGACTTTTTAACACATTTTATATATTTAACCTACTATTATTTTAATTAGAAATAAACTTTTTTCTTTTTTGTAATCTATTTTCATTTTCAAAATCTGGTCGTCATATTCTATATTATCTACCTGGACTTTTTTTAATATCTAAAAAACAAATGAATTAAAATGCGGCTGGGGCATTTAACATAGCGAAAAGGTTTCGAGACCTTTATATGCGGGCTATCTTCAAAACGGGCCAATATTGAAATATTAGGTATTTTAAACTGCATTTACATTAGAAATTATTGCCGGGTTAACCTCCTCTATGAGTATTCATTTGTCATATATGTAATTCAATTGACAGTTTAGATCTACTCGGAATCCGGAACAATGTCAAAGTACTACAAATGCTGGGTCTTTATGAAAAAAGTATTTAACATATCAAGAATGCAGAATGCTACCTCGACTTAAAATTTCCTGAAATTCAAGAGAATATTTCCTATCTCGCTCAATACATCTTTGACTGATAATAGATATTAGGTTCGTTCGTTTACTCAATAATTTGTACGAATTTGTACAAATTATTACAAAATGTTGTTCGTTTACCCAAAAGTCCAGTAAAAGAGAGTGAATTGAGAGAGCAGATTTGATAGTTGTGTTACTGAGTATTTGCAAATTCTTACAAGGAAAATTTACTCAGTAAGAATTTTCTTGTACCATCAGCTGATATTTAATCAGCTGTTTTGTTATGTTTTGTAAACAAACAAAAAATTGTTCTCAAGAAAATTGATTGTTTTGTGAATTTTATTTTGATTTTGTATCATTAAATACCAAAATGGATGAAGAAAACGCAAGTATTTAAAAATAAGGTAATACAAGAGTGGCGACCGATTTTTTAGGTTCCAAATCCAAACAAAAAAGTGTGCATCCCTAACATGTCTGTAAACATCAATCAACATCAATATATTTCCAAATAAATAGTTAAAACGTACAAGTCACAACCCTTTTAAATGTTTGTTTTTTGCTTGTTATCCATTTTTCTAATAAAAATGCTGTTTTTTAGTTTGCGCCAATGTTTGTTGTTGTAATCAGCTGTGTCGAAACAATCTTTTTACTGGATGTTGTTCGTTTACTTTTTGCAGTTTTCTCTCTTGAGAAGGAAAAATTCGTATTTACTCTCTGCAAATTCTTACTGAGTAAATATTACTGGGAAAGTAAACGAACGAACCTATTAATCAATCTTGAGGATATAATTTGTTGGTCCCAGCACGTGAAGACCCTTAATAATGAATTTTCACACAGCTGATTACTTATGAGTGCAACTAATAAGCGGCGAACAAAATACGGCAATGTTAAAATGGTAAGAAGAATATTAAATAAAATATTATTCAAATGTATATAAGCGATTCCTAATACATGTATGACTTTAGTTGTTAATAAAATATTAAAATTAATTATCAATTTCATCAAATAATTTTAAATTAGGTAAACAACATTTGTCACACATCTCTCTTTAAGATGCACCCTAAGAGAATGACGGAATTTTTGCAAAGACGTTTCCAGTTGTGATTCATTCATTTGTTTTTGCTAGTGGACGGTAAACAACAATTTTGATACTAATTAATTTTGTAAAAATAAATCTCAACGCAAAATGGAGTTTCCTCCTTGCCCGGCATCATTGAAGCAGATTCAACATTTTCTAAAAATTGCCCAGGAACATGATTCCCGAGACATTGTTGTGGCCTATTGGTCTAGATTATAGTAAGTTTGGAAGATCTTTTTTATTCATTGGATATTCTAACATAATTGTTTCTTTTCCATCAGTGCCCTGCAGGTGGCTTTGAAGCTTACAACTCAACAGCCAGAGGAAACCAAACTGTTATTGGGTAAGGAAAACCAAAGAAGGGGTTCCAAAGAAAATTGATTACCTCATATGTGACTATACATGTAGTGTATAGATTTCCCAATTCAAGAGGAAGTATCGTCATGGCGATGAATATTTTTTTAATAACAGGAAACCCAACCGTTTACCGGAAGGAAACCTAACCGTTTACCGGAAGGAAACCTAACCGTTTACCGGAAGTATATCAAAAGTTATATATAACAGTCAAGATTTTAAAAATGTAGATACTTTTCTATGTCCTCACCTTAAACTTCCACACATATCGGTGCTTCCTAGGGCTACTCGTCCACTCAGCAGTCCTTCTCGTTCGCTCAATATAGTTGTTATCACTTTTAGTATTTTTAAGTTCTGTTCGTAGCAATAATGAGCCGCATGCAAAATTCTAGGATGAATAGCTTCGAACACGTAAAAAAACGGGTTAACTAGTGTCTGTGTGGCCAAAGTGAATTTCCCTGGAGTTTTCCCAAAATTCAACTAGTCAAAATAAACAAATAATCTAATGCGTTTTATTTCTAGCTATTATGGACTGGTTGGAAAGCGTTAAAAAGGAACAATCGGAGAATGAAGCTATAACAAATGAAGTTGCTGCTCAGGCTCATATGGAGAACTATGCCCTGAAACTGTTCCTTTATGCCGACAAACACGACAGGGAAGGCAATTTTGGAAAGTAAGAAAATTTTAAAATAAAAAATAACACATAGGTATACTTATTACAAAAATAATAACCTCATCACTTTAGAAACGTTGTTAAAGCCTTCTATTCAGCCGGTGTTATATATGATGTATTGCAAACCTATGGCGAGCTTACCGAAGAAGCCATACATAATCGTAAATATGCCAAATGGAAGGCAGCGTACATACACAATTGTTTAAAGAATGGCGAAGTTCCCATATCGGGTCCTATGAAAGACGAAGAAGAAGGTGATGATAACGATGAAAGTAATATCGATAATAATACTATGGGTTCAAATCAAATTACCCCAGAGGATGGTCCTACGAATGAGTTTAATGAAGCCGCAGGTGGTGATGATAATTCAAATGATGTTGCAACGGAGGAAAATGAAAATCCCCCTCCATCACAGGCACCACCAACTGTTGAAGAAGTTCTAAATAACCCCAGTAAATTACCATCTCCCCCGGTGGAAGAAGAGAAACCTGGCGGTTTTGAGCCGTTTGTACCACCCGCAACACCACATCCGGTATACACACCAATAACTCCCGTTGCTAATATACAAATTACACCCGAACAAATGATAACAGCCCAAAAGTATTGCAAATATGCTGGCAGTGCCCTTAACTATGATGATGTTAAGACGGCAATAGTTAATTTGCAAAAAGCCTTAAAGCTCCTTACCACCGGTCAGGATGATTAGGAAACTAGCTGGTGTGTGCTTTATATGTATCAAAATGTTGTTTTTTCTTAATTTAATAATACACGATTATATTCCAATTTTAAGTTAGCAATAAAAATAAATAAAAGTGCTTTTTAGATGCATCTTAACAGAAATAAAAAGTAATATTAAAAACAAAACATTTATTTTTCCTGGGCTCGCATAAGGCGTAGATTTATTAAATAATATTTTTCCTGGGCTCTCATAAGACGTAGAATTATTAAACAATATTTTTTCTGGACTTCCATAAGGCGTAGATTTATTAAAGAGTCTTTTTCCTGGGCTCCCATAAGGCGTAGATTTATTAAAGAATCTTTTTTCTGGGCTCCCATAAGGCGTGGAGTTCAGTATTTTTCCCATTGAAATAAAACCAACATCTATGATTTATGTTACCATTAAAATGTTATTTATATATTTTTTGTATTTCCAAAATTCAGATAAAATAATTTTAAAATAAAGATATTAGAAAACATATCAAACGAAAGGAGACTAAATTTTTCATTGCATTTTTGTATTTTTTTCAGTTCGACAACATAACAACTTAAGAGTTGGTCTCAATGACAAACTAGCTTTGCGCTTTTTTGAACAATGAAATTAAAAAAAAATTTTAGAAAATGAGAATATGCATATGCTTTTCAAGACAATGTTTGATGTTGTTCTAGAAATTCATAAATTGTTACAAAAAAATATGTAGACGACGACAACAACAAACAATATTTGCATTGTTTGTCTATACATCACGTAGTACATATTATTCATTATATACTTTAAACAATGTTACAAACAAAATTATTAAATTTCTTTATATTAATATTTTAAAGAATTATATATGTTTGTGTTAGAAGCTAAGAATGGCTAATAGCTAAGTAGACGACTGAATGAGAGAGCGAGATTGAAATCGAAAATATAAAACTGTTTGAACACAGTTTGGGATTATTGATTATTTGTTAAATGACTGGTTGTCGTTTTCATAAAATAAAATATTTAAATTTAGAAATTCTTAATATCTAAACAAAACAAGTAGATGATAGTAAATATTAAATTTTTCCATTTTTTAAATAAGGAGATTCAAATGAGTAGTAAAAAATGAAAGTAGAAAGTAAACTTTCCAACTCTGGGAGAAATCTGTTATGAACGCTTACAAATAATAGAGTTTCTTTTCCAGAGCATTTTGTGGTGGCTGATACAAACTTGAAGCCACCAATGATGCCAATTTCTTAGCATATTGACATACAGCCGGCACTCGGGTAGTGCCTGACCAATTGTAGTACAAATGGGTCATTTTGTAGGTTAACAATTGCATTTGATCCGGTGTAAGACGAATATTGCTGTATACGACATTGTAACTGGTGGGTGCCACAGTACCTTGACGTACCGATTGTGAGACTAAATAAAAATCATAACGTTCGGGTAGGGTGACGACATCATCGACCACGGTACCAGGTGGTGGATTACGGCCTCGAGCAAATACACGAGTATTAATGGATTTCGTGACAACAATATATGCAAACATTGGTGGTTTTTCCATTTTTGCCCGTTTATATTCTTGCTCAAGTTTCTCGACAATATCCTTGACCTCATGCTCGTACACCTGTTTGAGGGAGCCCTCACCAACACCATCTCTATAGAAGAGAATACGATTTGGTAATTTATCGTGTTCCTTGCGATATTGACGCAATGCCTTGGTCATCATGGGCCACAGGCTATTGGCTAAAACATCATGAGAGCTACACTCAGCTACTGTACTGTAGAAGGTGGCATTGATTTTCAGATCCATAGTTGCAACAAGAGCACCATAAGCCTTTGATTTATCACGTGCACTCTTGGCAACATCATAACCGATGGTCATCAGGCCCGACAACGGTACATCAATCATCCAAGGGGTATAGCCAAGCTTACAATTGATTTGTATGGCTACCTTTGTGCAAATGCTCATAAGACCACGTTGATTGCCGGCGGATTTCTGGGTTATAACTTGGGTGGGTACAGCACGTTCGAGGCAGCCTTTTTTCTTTATTGAGGCGTATCTGCAAGAACAACATTTTAAGAAGTTTTGGGAGAAACATTCCCCTTTACTTACCTTTCGGCATTATTATTTGGCACCAAACACATAATTAACTGAGGATCTTGCCGGCAACAATCTTCCATGGCTTGTATAAAACTATGATTACGATCATCATAGATCATAACTCTGCAACGAAAAAAGGAATACGAAATTAGTATAAACATAATCACCTTAAATTAGTATGCTTTGCTACTTACTCTCTCGGTCTGTCGATTCTCATGTTCATACCATTGGCCGCACGTATCAGCGATTCAACAAAATTACGTAGGTCTCGGGAGTTACGATTTGTAGCAATGACAGCCCATCGTTCTAAACCGCGGGAAGGTGTTGTGAACATGCCCATGCTACGACAATGGCGGGTCCAATCGGCTTGTTCACCAGATGGTTCTCTGAAAGAAGGATTTTTGTTATTAAAAGAAGTACAAAAATACGTCGTTAAGTTAAATCGACCCGGACATGAGGAACCTTAAAAAACAGGTAGGTATTGAAAATGAGGTTTCGATTTTTAAAATGCGTATCCCCACATATATCCGATATATTGTATCGAGAGCACATTGTCCCCGGAATCCTAAATAGGTGTCCCTCCTGTCAGCAAAGCCCTTACGACAATCACCATCTATTCAATTGTTCGCGAGCCTACATGTCTATTACCAATTGACTTATGGCTAACGCAACTGCATCTGAAGTGCGAAAGTTATTTAGACCTGCTCGACACGCATCTTGGTCGTTCTATATCGTTGGACCTCTCTTTTTAGACGATACAGATCCTTACGTTTGTGTTGGGTCCTGATCCACGTCTGGTACACAGGTGTTTTGAGCAGGCACCCTGTTGCCGTTCTCAGGTTTAAAGAATATTCTATTAAGTAGCACTAGTATTCGCGTTTAGATGACAACAGACCGTTGCCTGAAAAGATAACCGTGGTTTGCGCGGAAGATTTAAATATGACATCGAACGTGGCGCCGATAAATTTGGTGTATTTACTGATTGTAATATTATGCCGCTCGACCTGCACATTCAAAGGCATATTCATTTCCGTAGCATATTCATTTTCGTACAATCATCTGCATACGTTACGACCTCAATGCCCTCTGGGACGTGGAATGCAAATATCATCATCCTGGCGAACTCCCTGATTTCACTCTATTGGGGTTTAGACTTCTTATTCCGGAACTTCACGTTCGACTGGCGTCCATGAAGATCCTTATGAAGATCCTTCTTGACATGCCTTGGAGGTGGGTGCCTATCCATTAGGTAACGGTTTGAATGGCTACTCTTATAACATCCAAGCAGGTATTGCATCGACAGCATCTTGTGTTGACGGACAGGAAGGATCTTCGTCTCTCATGTAAGTCTACTATTGTAGTCATGAGGAGATACCCTGTGGCAGTCCTCAGTGTGGCTATCGACAAGTTGAGGACTTTAGTAATGTACTCTACTCCGTGGTTCATCAAGCTGCTTCAACATCACCATGGAGGACCAAGCGCCTTGGATGATTTCGCGTTTCTGCTGACACTTGCAACATCCTCCGACGTAAATTGTTGTGGTTCCTCCCCCACTTGAAGTGAGCGTATAAGGCGCAATACTCTTCTCTTCGCACGGTCACTCAATGCTGCTAAATGAGACACCTCAACGCCGCTAAATGAGACAGTCCGATCATCCTTCCTTCCAGGGGTCGAGAGCGACTTAACTGTTGCCCACAATTTACTCCCTCCGCTACTGGTGTTGCAACATTCCACTGTACTGAACAGAATGGTGTAATAAGAATGCTAAACCTCCACCACCACCTCTCATATGATATTTTCTTAATGCGACGTACATATCACATTCGGGGTTCATTTCTCTATTAATATGGTAAAATGTCTACCTTTTCAATACATACTTTCTGTGATCTCTGAAGACAATTTTCTGTTGATCCAAAATGCGACCTTTGACCTCAACCAAACGGGTATCCAATTTCATATTCCAATCTGTTAAAATGCGCATACTGTCTTCGGTCTGTTGCAGGCGATCATTAAAGGTACGCAAACGTTCAATACGTCTATCGGGATTCATGCGGGTATGATCGGCCATGGCACGCATAAGTCTGTAAAGAAAAGCATTAAATTAATCACCTAAACAGAGGATAATAATTTCAAACTTACTGGAAATTATTGCGCATACTGTCATTGAGGCCTGTTGCACGACAAAGTTCCGGAATTAAAATGACAACTTCCTTTTCGCCACCGCGCAATGAACGTTCCTTGGCTTTTGATAGCAGCAATGGTTGTTGGGGATCACGAATGCGGATATTGTATTTCTATAATTAAAGAGGCATTTTTAAAATAATTCTCTACATTTTTTATTAAGCCATAATTTACCTTATAATAATAATCCATAAAGGTAACCTTTTCTCCTTTCATGCTGAATGTTTCACGGGGAGTTTTGTGAAAATCGATGTCATTGATCCTGTAAGTTTTATTATTGTAATCTGTTAGAACAGTTAAGCCAATAATATGACGTTTAAAATCTTCACGGAAATCTCGAGCATTTTCCTGGCAACGTCTAAAGATATCGTATACAGTTTCGGTACGCATAACTTTGTGGGCAATTTCAGCACATAGCAAAATATCTTTTTCGTGTTGTCGAATCGAGGTTTGATAACCCGGCCACAATTGCATACGGTATTCACGTAAATCAATCTGAAAAATGGAAATATCAGAAATTATTCCTTCAATATGAACTTCTCCAAAAAATCCCCTACCTTAGCAACAGGATCATAGAAATTACGTCCGACAAGCTGAAGTTTTAAGCCCTCCATTGAACGCCGCAAAATCAAGTTGAGAATTTGCAAAGACTGCCATTCGGTCATGGAAATAACACCCACATATTTGATGGTAATAACATAGTTCTCGCCTTGTTTGGACTTGGTATGGAGTA